TATATATATATATATATATATATATATATATATATATATATATATACACATACTGATTTTTTACCTACAGAGATAACAGCAAGAAGCAAGGAGGAAATAAATATGACAAATATTTATATGATATATATATGATAAATATGACAAATAAATATGTCTCGAGAGAAACCAATTTTGCAAAAGTTATTATAAATTTTACCCATTATAAGAAACATTTTTTCTGTTCAAAGGAACAGATAAAAATGGATTCGTTATAATCATTCTCCATATTTTCATACATGTTCATCAAATTTAAGAAGCATTTCTACAAGTTGAACTTTATTAACTTGGATATAAAGAAAATAAGCAGAAAAAATAAAGCTAACATTGAAAATGTTTCAATACTGGGGGCAGTAAATGAGCTGGGGAGGAACAGGTCTTCAAAAAACTTGATTTTAGGGCAAAAAAGGACTTCATCAGAAGCCGCTCGGGGCTCACTCTTTTCCAACTCTCCAAAAATGGGACAAAACATGAACAAAACAGAGTGAACCACAAACAGAAACCCTCTAAGAAACCTGTGGAGTAACACTACTTTTCATAGAGGTAAAGAATAAGTGTAAGGCAGTATGGTTTAAGAGACAACTGCCAATAAATTCAGGAAAAAGTAATGTTTAGATCACCAGGGGTTTTTTTTCAATACATTACAAATGAATTCCATAATCACACATATGTATTGAAAAGATAATCACCAGGTCATTTCACCTCAAATAAATCATATTTTCAAACTTAGAGTTAGAGAGAAAGTTAGATTTCCTCCATCCCATTTGCTTTGAAGTTTAAAATACAAGGACTTAATAATCTTGAAAAATACATTTTAAAATGATTCAAATATTATACAAATTGATAATTCTAATCATCATTTCATTCCTTCATAAGAATTAATAAATAAGGCTAAAATGATAATTAATATGAGTTATTGCTTTGTAGCAATAAATCTCAGTAATAAAGAACATGGCTTCAGGAATCAGTAGATTTCAATTAATATAAATGTCAGCTCTGCCAGTATAAGAAATGTAACCTGGGCAAGTTATTCACTGAACTACAGTTTCTTGGTATACAGAATGAAGAAAATAACATTACCAACCTCATATGGTCATGACAAAATTAACTAACATGGTCCCTGTTAATTAAATTTTAACTACTTTGCTTAACTACTAGGATAGTCCTTGACTCACAGAAAGTACTTGATATCTGTTACTGTAATTATCATTACTATCATCACTATTCGATGATAAGGCCAATCTTCTTACATGTCCACATATACTCCTCTGGGATCATCTTCTGTATATTTGGTGGAGTTGTTTACCGTTCCTGAAATGTCACCTGCTTTCGTCTTCATTAAGCTAAATCCTAAACATTTCCGACAGGCCTGACATTTATGATAACTTCCCTTACTAAACATATCCCATAATAATATTTCTCTTATACTGAATTCAGTGAACTCTTATACACAATCTGTATTACGTTATATTAATATTGCCTTATCCTTGTTTTCTAGCTTTACTGTAGATTTAATAACTCTCTATAGCTTCTCCACATTATATATATGTATATGTTGTTTTGCTGAATAAAATATATTTTTAAGATAAAGGATTATTTTCCTTAAAAATAAAACACATCTACAAAACAGCTAGTATGGTGGTGGGCATACAGTAGATGTCTAATGCATGCTTTTTAAGTTGAATTGTACTGTAACATATTAACAGCATCATGTGGGCTGTTTCATCTTTTCCGTGGTAAGTTCATCATCCCAACAGTGACAGAGTTGAATACAATCTCCATGGAACCAACTTGGACACTCTAAAATGGTGTTAATTCAATGCACTGAACTGAAAATCCAAACCCCCTCCTAATACAGACACTTTCATAATTTTATTTCATTTATAGAATACTGACTGAATCCTAAGTGTCTAAACTCCATATCTTAAATTACATGAGAACAGTTGGGAAGCTGCTACACTCTAGGGCAGAGTTGCCTTCCTCCAGGAAAAAGGAACAATGAATGCTATGGGTAACTCCTTCAAATGTTTCCCTTCTCATATTAAAGTAAATGCTGATTTCACATCCTTCCTCAATGGGTCGCTTCAGAGCATTTAAAAGTCAATACTTCTCCTCTCAACTTTACTTCCCTCTACCCAGCCTGTCCATCCTTTCTGTATTTTATAATCATTAAGTATTCAGTGTTCATAATAAATCAAATAATTTTCACATACAAAGGAAATTTCTATTCTCTTTGCCCAACATATATATAGCTAAATCCATATTGATTTAGCTTGAGGTGTATGGAGAGCAATAAAGAAATCATCATGGTGGAAGGGGAAGAAAATTACTACTAATAAATAAATGCCAGTAAAGGAAATAGAAAGTTGTCAGATTGTCTGGGCAGTTATATGGGGCTTGATATATGATAATAGTCCATTTTACAGTAATCCTGTCTACTATTTTATCAGTACAGGATATTTTGATGGATAAGAGGGTCCATGTTATTAAAGAATCAGAAATGTATCATATTCCCAAATTCCATCTAACTGCTCTAAATTCCATCTTCGGGATCAATAATATAACTCATATTATGCCTGGAAAAAATGCCCTTGAAGCCACAGATATAAAAGGTTACCATAAGAGGATTTGCAACATCAAAGAGGCTTTCAGACACATACACAATTTTAGACCGTTTATAATTCATCTACACATTCAAATATACCAAATCTTAGATCCCCTTGCACTATCTCCTTGTAGGAACAGAAAGAATATCATAATTGATGATTTTTCCCCTGAAAAAAAATGATTCCGTATTTCAAAAGAAACATGCACCATGCAACGTGCAAAAAAAAAAAAAAAAAATACCTTGTGTTTCTTATTTTCAGGGCCTGTTGACATGGACAATGCACAAGGTGAAATCAGCTCGTTGGTTCTTGTTAGAGAGATGGGAGGTGATGGGGATGAAACAGATGACCTGTGGTCAGATATGGAGCTTTCGGATTTCCCAAGTCTTGAAGGCAGGGTAAGATTTGGGTGCAGCGCTGAGGGACTGAGGTGGCGCACCTCGGTGGGCGGATTAGCACGAGGGAGAGCGGAGCACCCCAGTTGGGGAAGAGAGGCAGAGCCAGCGCTGGAGACAGGGTGTGGGGGAGGAGCTAAAGGCGTCTGCCCCGGGCCAGAGAGAGGTGCTGATGCTCTCTTGGATCTGTTTATCAGGTTTGAAAGAGCTGGGGAAGGATGGTAGCATTTCTCTGGAGAGGGGAGCCTGGCTCTTGGGTTAGTGGGAGGAGACACCGAAGACGATGCCGACGAGGCTAACGTAGAAGGATGTGGGGAAATATCCCTGGGCTTTCCTGGGCCCCTGAGGTCAGCATCCTGTCTGCCCTTGGAAAACAAAGGAGAAAAGCTTGGAGGGACAGGAGGCAGACCTGTAGAACTGGAGGTACTGGTTTGCAGCTGGGAAATCATTGGGCTGCTCTTTAAAGAAGTGGGGGATGGCGTTTTCTCTACATTCAAAGAAGCAAGGCTGCTACTGCCCTGTTTCGGGGGAGAAAGGGAGGATGCCAGAGGAAGGGGAGCAGCTTTAGTGGAAAAAGGGAAGGGAAAGGATTGCTGGCTGAGATCAGAAACCTGGTTTTCCCTTTGCTCTGGAGACGCCGCTCGCAGGGAGCAACTTGAGAGGGATTTTTTAGGCGTAGGAGAGGTTTGTTTAATTTTTTGATCGAGTGTGAGGCTGGAAGAAGCCAGGGAGTTGAGAGAGAAGGTGGGACAGGATGCCGGGGAAAGGGGTCTTTGGTGAGAAGGGTTGGACTTGAGGATGGCAGTTAGGAGGGAAAGCCGGGAGGGCACTGGGGATTTCACCCCTGACGTTGAGAAGTTCCCGCTGGATGACACTTCGCTACAGACAGTGGAAGAAGAGCCGTGGAAAGGGGAGGGGAAGGGTTTGGGACTCGGAGAGAGTGAGTGCGTGACGATGCGGACCGGGATGTAGGAGGCTGAATTCGACTTCAGAGAAGCACCGGAGGGCAGCGAAGGAGAAGAGGTTCTCGGGCTTTCTCTGGGACTAAGGACATGCGAGGTGACAGTCTTCTTGAGGACTTCAGACGTCAGGCCAGGTTTTTGCTGGACTGCACTTGGACTGGATGAGTGAGAACCTGATAATTGAGCGGGATGGGGGAACTGTGACGTCGAGGACGTGCCCTTCGGTGCAAAAAATGGTGCAGAGTGAGCGGAAGTTTGAAAGTACATGGCTGTTTCTTCCACCAGGGCCCCACTGACATCCAGCCTCCTCGGGTGGAACTCCTCCAGGACAGAGGCTCCGGCTAGGTCGACTGGGACAGGTGGTGTTTTCTGATTAGTTGGAGAAACAAAGGAGAAAGCAGGTGGTTTATAGGCAAGCTGCTCAGAGGCAGTGGGAGAAGTTAACTAGAGGAAAGAGAAATAGACAGGGTCATAGGACATCATTTGTGAAACTGTCAAAACATTCTTGTCACTTGTGCATTTATGCAAACAGTCTTATTAGTTTACACAAAAAGAGGCCCTTAAACCTCTGAGAAAATGGCAGAAATTCTGTTTTGCTAATGAGGCATTGCTTTGAATTTGAAATAAAATATAAATAAACGGTGAACTCTTAGATACTATATCTCATTTATTCTCCAGAATGAACATCAATATAAAATTGTATTTGCATGTCTCCCTTTGGAAGATAATTCATTGACAAAAATCTAAAAGAGTTATCTTCTTTTGGAATTGTGTGATTTGAAAAGATTTAAATCACCGTCCATATAAATTTCAAAATGCACTTTGGAAAAGGAAATAGGTCTTCCTCCATTGCAAGAATATAAACCATAATATAATAATAATGACTACAATCCTTAAAAACTTTACCTCACTTTGAACGTTAAAAATTCTAAAAACTTGGACTACTCCTACATATTGTAAACCTGAAAATAATGCCCAGAATTCAAAAGATGCAGTGCTTAACATCAACATAACTGTAACAAACTGAGAGACTGAAAGCCAAGGCTGAAACAGAGAGGGAGTTTTAGCTTATGAAAAATATTTTCCCTAATTACTTGCCAGAATGAACAGTTAATAAATGATGTGAGTTATGTTGGAAGGAATGAATAGATACTCTTTCATATGGAAAGAAGCCAGAGTACATTATCTTTTTTTTTTTAATTGGAGTATAATTGCTTTACAATGTTGTGTTAGTTTCTGCTGTAAAATGAAGTGCATCGGCTATATGCATACCTATATCCCCTCCTTCTTGGACCTCCTTCCCACCCCTGCCTCCATCCCACCCATCTAGGTCATCACAGAGCACCGAGCTGAGCTCCCTGTGCTATAGAGCAGTTTCCCACTAGCTATCTATTTTACACATGGTAGTGTATTTATGTCAAACCTAATCTCCCAATTCATCCCACCCTCCCCTTCCCCCACTGTGTCTACATGTCTGTTCTCTACGTCTATGTCTCTATAGGTGCCCTGCAAATAGGTTCATCTAATCTGCCTGAAACAATGCAAGCCACCAATCCCACATCAAATAAAAAGAAAATAAAGAAATATTGTATCACTTTCAAGAGAAGCTAGGGAGAGCCTGTAAAATAACTGAGTAGCTCTCTTCTTGCCCTATTTTTAAAATTATCCAGTACTTTAAGACAAATACTGAAATTATAAATGATTCTAAAGCCAAATCTTTTAAACAGAGGTTTTCCTTTAAAATTATTGATTTGAGTCTATTGATCCATAAGAGAAAAGAAAATATTTGTACCTAATACAGAATTTAGGGAATATCTGTTATTCAAAATATTAATTTGTATTTATTAAGTTATATACTTAATTTATTAAGTTATATATTAAGTTGTATAATATTATATACATTGCATTACATAGCAGAAAAGTGTACGACCATAATAATTAAACTTAGCAAGAGCTTCATTTATAAACTCAGTAAAAGATATTTCTTGATTTTGCTCTATAACATGTTAAGAAGGTGTCCATCAGACCTAATGCAAAGATTTTCATATCATAGAGTTTTGAGTTCTAAAAATATTTAAAACTGATAAATTCAAACAACTCACCCCAAACTTCTAAGTTTCTGAGCAAATGTACCCAAAATATTCTTCTCTTTTTATATGTAAATTCATTTGTGTATTTGCAACACAGAATTCTTGTCACATAAATTATTTTTGAATAATTTTGGCATGCAACCCAGAATATCTGAAAATCATCAATAATTGAAAATCAAACAGAATTCAATCAAATTGAAAAAGAAAGCTTAACAATTCCCTCACATAAGTTTTGCTTAAAAACAATTCACTTATCCAGTATTCGTAAAACCAATTCATGTGTTTAGCCATAAGTGAAAGGTCTTCTCTAATTGTTTCCTATGATTGGTCTGTCCTCATGGAAGGAATGAAGAAATTTCGAGGCTATGTACAGTCTCTTTGCATGCTATGCCATAACTTTTGTTATAAAAAAATTGTAAATTAATAACAGCCACAAAAATTCCATTACCTTTTCAGTCATGTTTCCAAATAACTTCAGTTTATATAACAAACTCATTAATTCATCCTGATTATCTACCAAATTATCATGTTAAAATCTCAGGACTGTGATTTTGAGGGTCTCATCAGAGGAAAAGACTGTTCCCTCCAATTTCCCCAAGACTATGGCTTCTAATTACCAAACATTCTATTACACGAAGTCATATCTTACCTAATATAAGTAACTCTTAATTTTACTGTACTTTCTAATAGCTTATCATTGAAGAACTCCTAAGAAAAGTTCAAAGGGAAAGATTCTGAAAAGTCTAAGAATGTTTTTTATTATATTTTCCTATTTGATGTATTAATAAGCATTTGCAATATGTTTTTTTCTAATTTGATGTTATCCTAATTTATACTAATATGAAAATGTGGCACCATATTTTTATAAAATTTCCAGGAGAGGGGAATGCATTTTTTAATGAAAAAGATTCATTTTCCTGAGTTCCTCTTATTAATAACTTTAAAAAAAGAGCGAGTAAAGACATGAATAATTTTATGCAGGAAGAAAGGATGGATACCTGTCAAATGTTCAGTCAAGTAGCTCGAAATAGGCCCTTTATTTTAGCTCTTTCCTGTAAATCCCTTACTGATGATAATAAACTTCTCTGATGATGCCTACAAATTATATGAATCTTTTCATCCTCTCCCATTAATAACCCCAGCTCTGTTCTCTAGGTTCTCTAATTCCTTCTCTCTCAAACCTGTTCTCTGTCTTCTCCACCATTTATTTCTAACCTGATATTTGTTGATGTCTTCACTTCAGACACCTCTCTAAAATCACCGCTGACTATGTTCTCCAATCCCCAGCCCTCTTCTGATTCCTTGAGCCCCCTTACCACATACCTCCTCCAAAATCATTTTCAAAACTCTCTTCTCCTAGAAAAACTATCCTGAGCTCTGAATACATTCACAGTAATCTCTGTAACAGAGGATGCTTACAATATTCTGCTCTCATCAAGTGGATGGTCTTAATCCTAAATCCATATTGGATTCTGCATAATAGAGGCTATCAGTTATTTTAACAACCAGTCTCTGTAGTATAGCTGCCTTGTCACTTTAGTCAATCTCAAATTAACTGCTTCTCAGCACTATTCACAGTAGCCAACACATGGAAGCAACCTAAACGTCCATAGACAGAGGAATGGTTAAAGAAGATGTGGTATTATATACAAAGGAATACCACTCAGCCATAAAAAAGAATGAAATAATGGCATTTGCAGCAACATGGATATAACTAGAGATTATCATACTCAGTGAAGTAAGTCAGAAAGAGAAAGACAAATACCATATGATTTCACTTATATGTGGAATCTAAAATACGACACAAATGAACTTATCTATGAAACAGAAACAGACTCACAGAGATACAGAACAGATTTGCAGTTGCTAAGGGAGGGTGTTGGGGGAGGGATGGACTGGGAGGTTGGGATTAGCAGATGCAAACTATTATATAGAGAGAGAATGGATAAACAATAAGGTCCCACTGTATAGCACAGGGAAATATATTCAGTATCCTATGGTAAACCATATGGAAAAGAATATAAAAAAAAAAGAATGTATATATATGTGTAACAATCACTTTGCTGAAAAGTAGAAATTAACACAACATTGTAAATAAATTATAGTTCAATAATAAATAAATAAAATTAACTGCTTCTGTGTATATTCAGTTTTTCCTAATGTGTCCATGAGATTCCAAAACATCTGAATAAAAATGAAAATGTCTGATCTGCTGCCTGATGGTCTGAATAGTTCCCAAGATTTAAACCATGTTGGTCCATATAGTTGTGATCTTTCTCCTGAATCTGTACAGTTTCTGCAAGGCAGAAACTCCTGATTCTCCTTTGTCCTTGCATGCAATCATTACATTATATAGCTCCTTGGCCTCCTAAACAAACCTGCTGATCTGTCCTCTTCTCACTGATGGACACTTGCAATGTGACTGAGCAGATTCTCAGCCTTTCTTACCTGAACAATTTAAGTCATCTTTTTGGTATTCCTATTTCTAGTTGCACCCAATTGCACCTATCTTCAGACTGACCTGTTAAAAATCTAATCAGGGCTTCCCTGGTGGCGCAGTGGTTGAGAGTCCGCCTGCCGATGCAGGGGACACGGGTTCGTGCCCCGGTCCGGGAGGATCCCACATGCCACGGAGCGGCTGGACCCGTGAGCCATGGCCGCTGAGCCTGCCTGTCCGGAGCCTGTGCTCCGCAACGGGAGAGGCCACAGGAGTGAGAGGCCCACATACAGAAAAAAAAAAAAAAAAAATCTAATCAAAGCACACCGATGCTCAAGATGTCACCAATACTTTCCCACATCTACCAAGAACTCAAGATGGTTCCTTCACAACAGAGCCCCTCTCCTCCTAGCCAGTCTCATCTCCCTCATCCCCTGCTATTTTGCATTTTAGGTTTTAGAAATACTTATTTAATCTCAACCTTCTTGCCAATATTGTCAACACTCTAGCCATCTTGTTCTTTTGCTAATCCACTTGGCAAATCATTATTCTTAAATCAATTATGCTCCTAGACCTAGTCTACTTAAAGCTGTTATTTTAAAAATATAACGGAACCCAGGGCCACTGCACTTGATTTAAGAACTTGTCCTGTACAAGGGCACCAGCTGAGAGTGGGGCTGAACTTTCCTACACTAAGCAGAGGGGGTACATTTTTCTAATTCACACATGGGCTGGGTAAGGCACTGTAAATTGGTGTCATCATAAATTTAAGGTCTATAGTCTCAGCTGGGCTGTGTACCACTCAGCTTTTTTGTGGGTCGTTTGGGATTTTTTTTTTTTTCTTTTCTTATATTTTGACCTCAGCTTCCTCTCCTGTTCTAAACAACAGCCTTCCACAAAGTTAGCACTCACTAACC